CTATTCCATATACCAGCCAAAGCAAGGTAGGTCCTTACTTTTTTAAATAGAGAAGGAATGGAACTTCTAGTACTTCCAATGGGAACTACTGGCCTAATAAGGCTGACAAATTCTTAATTTCACCTATTATGACTAGTGAACTTCTTTAAAAATTCCATCTCCACCCTTGTATTTACACTATTTAAGTTTATCCACTCCCTATCTTGACTTAAGCAATAGTTATTTTTCTCAAGTTTCTTCATAAATCCATGCATCCAAATCCTGCATTCAGTTTGCTTGCTCTCCTCTGAATTTCCTTCAACTGTTCAAATATCTTAATGGTTACACAGAACTTAGAAGCAACTGCATCATTACTGACACAGCTTTAGACTGGAACTTTTTTTTGTCATTTGATATTTGTCTACTTTAAAATTGTATTGTTTTTCCTACTGAAATTAGCCCTTTACAAAGTGATTTACTGTCCAGTGCCACTTAACATCTTCCAGCATTTATGGGTTTCGCCACCAGCTCTTAGTTTGCATTTTTCAAAGTTAATTGTACATTTATTTATAGCCTCTAAATACACTCTCATTCTCTATCCATAATATTATCTAGTATATTTCATTAACATGCTATCCTTTTACTTCCAGATAAGTGTTCAATAACAGAATACCAACCTTTAGCTACCCCCCTTAAACTAGAGACAAAAAGTAAACTAAATAGGATTCCATCATTTTTCAATGCACTTAAAATTGTTTCTATCCAAATCACTTTAACATCACCTTTTTTGAGCTACGCTATCTAATCCTTTACCAAAAGTTGAACAATCCATCCATGGAATTCCCTTCAACTATGTTATAATTGTAAAAAAAGCAAATGTTTGCTTAAGTATTTCCCCTAGTACCACCCTACTGCTCCATAACTTATTAAAATAACTGTCAGTAACACAGTAAGTGCATTAGCTCACTCTCTTACTACCAGAGGAGATCCACCATCTGGACTCAATGATTTGTGTACAGAAAGTTCTCATTTCACAAAGATTCCCTTACCTGCCTTTTATGAGTTAACTGTTTTACATCTTCATTATCTTCCTCTTGGCTAGTTATTTCAACAGGCTTTTTTTTTTTAAAAAAAAAACAACCTCAGTGATTTCAGAGTCAGTTTCATCTTATTGTCACTTGTAATTACAGAAATACAAGAGTCTATTAATTTATAAAATCCCTTCTTTCACCTTCCACTTTCACTTGTGGTTTTTTTGTTGTTGCCCTTATCTGTACAAGTTTTAACATTTTCAGCTCATCACCGCCTCCCTCTCACTCCTTATAGTGTTAACCTCTCTTTTCCAGACACATAAGCTATTCCTTCTACAGTACTTTCCTTTCCTTTTATTACAAAATTGTAATTACTTTCAAATCTATCACTTCCCCTCGCCCTTTAATGCTAACATTTGAGGCCCCATATTTGCTTCAGCTAAGTTTGGTTGAATATGCCTGGGAAGAGGTCCAGTTGTTGCCCATTAAATCTGCTCTTTTCACTTCTGTGGTAGAGGGATGCCTTTGGATGATGAATCTCTCTGGTGTACAGCCAGCCCGCCCATAGCTGCCGGTTTCTGAGAATAGCACTAACATCTCCCATGAACCAAACTTCAAATAATTCTTAAAATTAGTTATTTGTTCACACCACAGGAATTTAGTGACTCATAAATCCAGTTATATCAAAGCAGGGAAAATACTTAGTATCACATGGAGCCAGAGCCTGGGTTGAGTATTTTTGACTCCTTTTGTACCTAGCCTTCTGTCAGCACTCATGATGCTTAAATCGGTTATAGCCCTGCACTGAGACTTTTAGCTTCAGTTCAGGCAAGTGTTTAAATGTGGCAGTGAGATCTGTGAATCTGCTACTGTTCCATTTTTTTAAATAGTCAAAAGTTTGGACTTGACATATCTGTATGGCAGCCAAACAAGGCAGAAGGCAGCAATTTAGTCATCAGGAGGCTAAAAAGAGGGTAAAGCTATTAGGGATATAAATACATAGTTAACCAGTAAGCCTCACCCTTAACAGATGAGGCTTACCAGTTCTGTTTAACTGGTAGGGGCTGGAGCAGCTCCCCACCCACACCAGACAGGGGGCTGCTCCAGACTTGCAGTGCCTGGGGGTGGTGGTGGTAAGAAAGTAACAGAGTGCACAAGGCAGGAGCCAGTATATACTGGGAACCTGCTTTTAAGCCTGCCACTCCCACCTCTGCACTGCTGTGGATGGAGGGGTGCTAGCTCACTGAGGTGGATTTGATCAACTTTAAGATGACGTTTTTAAATCTCTCATATGTCTGAGTAATGCATTCCATATATATTTTTGTAATAGCTTTAAAATAATTGCTGTTGAAGGCTGTAACAAAAATCATCATGACACAATCTAGGTTTGAAAAATGTTATTTTAAAGTTGACATTTTGGCTGCATGAAATACTTTTCTACTCCAAATTACAGCATCGTATAGCTGTTTAGAATGTGGTGTGCATGCAAACCACTGCAACTTACAGAAGCCCTTGGCCGCATAGGCCCTTAAGTTCTTAAAAGCAGCTTAATAGCAGCCTGTGAGACACCCCAAAAGGGACTAAGTTTTAGGCAGCTGAGCACTCAAGTTCAGTGCTAAGCCGCTGTAAGGATCATTTGTATTGCAAGTAAGGCTTAAGGCTTAAAGTGGCCTAATTTTTTCAGGGTTGGGAAGATGGCTTAAACTTAGAGGCAGCCCATCAACTGCTATTTCAAGGATCCTAGGGCAGCTATTCAAATGGACAAACCATTAAGGGATATGAATAGTGTATTAAAAGTTGAAATACAGGGAATTTCTAGATTGTAACTAACTTTTCTGGAATTTTGTTAGAAGAAAGTCATTAACCATTCTGTACTAAAACATGCCATAGGATCTTTAATACCAGGACCACTTCATTTAAGATTTGTTCCAAAATATAACCACTCAGTCTGCAATCATACACCGTTTTAAACACTAGTTACAGCATCCGATTTCATTTGTACATGGAAATCTATCCAACTACTGATAGGTTTCTGAAATTAAGCACCAAGATTACAGTTATAGCAGATATCTGTCATTTTTTATCTACAAGTAATTTTACAAAAGTGGGGGAAGTAATGGCTATGAGGGTGCATATTTTTAGCATTACAGAGGCATGACTGACATGCAAGTAGGATTTTTTTAATTGTTTGGTAAGGCTTAGAGCAAAGATTTCATCTTGATTCTGATATGCGTGTCAGCTTTACCAAGAAGTCTTAAAACAAAAGCAATTGATGTAAGAAACCCACAGCTATGACAGCTCTAAGTGAAAATGTGTATGCCGTAATTTGTACAAGTATCAGTAATTCAAAAGATGTAGCATGTTAGGTAACCATACATTCTGGCATGCTACCTGGCTCCTGTGAAAAGTATTAGCCTTTCCTTTGTGTTTGGGGTCAGAAATTAAAAACAATATGCTTTCATTCTTCTACATCAGTCACTACACATTCTGCACAGACACAAGCGTTTGCAGATGAGGCTTGAGACACATGAGCCTCTGTGGTAAGCCTGCACAGCAAATGCCTGTACTGTCTCAGGTTTGTTTCATGCACACCACATTCACTCCCACTCTTTAAAACAAGCCATCTTCTGTGTTAATTAGCACTGTATTTGTGCCAATGCAATGTGGTCCATAGTAAGACTGAAGGCAAAATGTCTTCAAACTGCCCAATTACCTCAGGTTATTAGTGCACAGCATGAAGTGGGTTTATTTTGCTTCCCAATTAAAACTTGAGGGCTTAGTAAATTAAAACACTTAACCAGTTTTAGAGAAGATTTGTGCAATTTATTCTTCTACTATGAAAAGTGATTCATAGAATAATCACCAGCCCTTCCCACCCTTTAAAACTCTAATTTAAAACATTTTCTTTCTGCATGAATAAAGAGTGGAGAGATTCTCCTTTGCTTGCTGAAGAGAACTCAATTATGTGAGTTGGTGCAAGCTGTGACATCTCCAAAAAGAGCTCCAGCCAATCAGAATATGTCTCTGGACAATCTGAGTCAGCTACCCATTTGAAGTTTCTCTTGTAGCTATCAACAATGAAAAATACACTAATTCATGCCCTAAACTGGGAAATAGAAAGGCCTATTTGATTACATGGGTGCTTCCATTCATAGACCTTACATTTCTACAAAGTGAGTAATTATCTCTATTTTACAGATAGGAAAACTAAAAGGTAGAGAAATGATGTGATTTGCTCAAGGTCACACAGCTTGTGACAAAAATGGGCAAAAAAGGTACTATGGTTCTGCTCTTGCTTCTACCACACACAAATGATCTGGGTTCAATCACTTAATCTTTTTGCCTGTTCATCTGTAAAATGATGATAAATATGCTTCCTCACCCCACAAGCTCTTAAAAAAAAAAAGTCAATTGTAGGAGATAATCCAATGTTTCCCAATTACATGGTTTTTAGTAGCAAAATGGTAGTTCAAGTCAAGTCTCTCAAGAGCTGTTTGACATCCCTGATGCAAAACATTTTTATAAAAAAGTTTCAACCTTTTTTACGAAGAAGTTTTGTTTAAAACTTCCAAAACAAAGTTATTTGGAAATTGAAATTTCTATTGACCTGTTCCATATTTTTCAGAGAAGCAAAAACCTGAGATCAACTTTACGTAATGATTTTAAGTGTAAAAATTCTGAAATCTAACTCTTGAGACAGGAAAAATCATATACTGATCTGCTCTAAAACTCATTAGCCTTTGAGAGCTATGCGAATGAGGGCCAACCAAAAGCTTAAAAAAATTAACAAAAACAGAAAAACCTAAGCTCTCTTGACAGCCAGGTCATTGCCTCATTGTAAATGTTAATGCTGTAGGGTGAAGAAGCAAGTTCAGAGCTTGTAAGAAGTAGATACACGCAGTAAAACTGTCAGTTGAAGAAAGCATGTCCTTTTCTTTTTTTTAAACAAAAAACCCACACACCACACAGAAGGCAAGGAAAAGTAGGTGATTTGATGTTTATATTAGTTTTACTTTGTACACATTTCGTTATCAGTGGATTGACTATATAACTCACTTTATTACATAATAGATTCTCTTTCCACAGCAGAGAAGGATGGACTGAGGTGCTATCACTATATTTAATTCATTATAAAGCTTTATTTCCAATTGTAAACTTCTTGGTTTAAAGACTCTTCCAAAGCAAACGAAGAATATTTACAATTGGTATCCTATCTTCCTGAAGCACCCTGAGAAAGGCAATTAAAAAACACTTACAAAAAAGCATCTGAGTGCCAAGCCCCAAAGTTACACATTTGAAATGTTATATTGTCAAGTGGCCTATTCACAGAAAGGTAAACATTCTATGAAACAATTCCAGAATTTGCCTATTGTACATGTTAGTTTTTTCAAACATTTAAAAGCTCTATTGGTGGTGGCTTTAGAGGAATCTTTCCCAGCATAAACTTCTTTGCTTCAAATTGCTTCAAGTCTTCAGCTGATAGATCAGTCTTTGGTGTGAATAACTTATCTGAGGTAATACTACTTGTGGCTGCAGGAGGTGCTGGTGCTACATTATACCCAAAGGCACTAACAGACTGTCCAAACAAAGAGTTACCCGATTCTGAAGCAGGGACAGCAGCTGCTGCATTAACAGCTCCAAAGGCTGGAAATGAGGTTGTGTTTGAAGAGTTTACCACAGAGGAACTGCCAAACCCTGAAAATCCAGAAGCTCCAAAGCCACTTGCCGTTTCAGGCTTTTTAAATGAAAATGAGGCTGCAGATAAAGCTGGTTGGCTACCAAAGCCAATGGAATGGGCTGATCTTGAGGAAGATGTCACATCCAATGCTGAAGAATCCGGAACTGTAGAAGGGGTTCCAAATGCTGTGGTGCTTCCAGAGGATGAACTGACAAATCCAGTATTTGAATTAAAGGAGAAATTGTTGGCACTCCTACTGCTGTTGCTGCTTAGTGGAAAGCCTGTAATTATAAACACAGAGGGAACCCTTTGGAACAGGCACATTTGCACCAGAATACGGTAGAAAGACGAAGAGAAGATTTAACAGGACTAGCTATTAATACTGAAAACTTACTTGATGACCCAAACGTTGGTGGCTGTTGTCCAAATCCAAAGGTAGGCAATGGTTGATTAACTGCATTTTTCAGTTCAGATACCTTTAAAGAAAGGACAATTGGCTTCATATTTTAAAGTGAAACAATAGGTTTCTTTCTATAAAGATTTAGAACACACTTCTGATAATTATGTCAAAACTAGCTTCACCTGAAAAAGTTAATGGGAATGTTCTTTTAAGTATTTTATTGCCATATCATGCCAAGCCTAAAAATACTGTGTGGCAGGGATAGAGGATGACACTTGTCAAATCCAGAACACCTCTTTCTTTGCCTTTTTTTCCTACCTGGAAGTTCTTCACTTCCTATCATCCCCCCAAAAATGTTCCTGAAGCATCACTTAAGACCTGACTCCAATCTACTACTTGGCCCAACCCTTTTATATGGATGCCTCTCCCTGGCAGCAATATTGAAGATAAATGCCATAGCTGGGATTTTCAAAGCATTGCAGAGGTTTTAGTAAAAACTGTCATATTTACACAGCAAATATTTCCAAATCTTACAGCCAAGAAAGACAATTCTAACTGGGTGCAAAGTACTTGGTCTTAAATAACAAATGTTGACATTTTCAAAGCCAAGCAGAGGGATTTAGAATTTAATGTTAAAAAAACCATATGACTAACTTCTCTATCAGTATTTTCTGCACATAGAACTTATATTTGCTATGCTATCTATCAAGACAACAGCAAATAAGGATTCAATTTCTTCACCCATATCATGTCTTAGAAATTGACTCATTAACAATCATTGTGAAAGCAACCAACTGTGTTATGTGAAGCACACTGTCATACATCTAACAAAAGTATTTTACAGGGGTGGAGAACCTAAGGCCTGGGGGCCACATATGACTTGCCTTCATGTGGCTCCTGAAGTTTGGGGCTCCCCCCACCAGCATCACACTGCAGAGCTGGAGCATACTAAATATATTAGCTTAGGCCCCACCATGGCTCTGGTGTGCAAAGGGAATGTGGGGAGTGTCTTTCTACTTCAGTCAGCGGCCAAATCAGTGATGTTTTGTTTTTTCTTTTCACTAGTGTGTGTGGCCCCATGGTGGATTTCTACCTGCCCCAACCTCCCCCCCCCCGCCCCAAACCATTCCTGTTTAAAATTAGAAGGAGAGTGTATTAAATGTGTTTACTTTTCAGTAACACTTACCAACGCTACTTTGGTAGATGCATTTAGAGTCTTCAACTCAAGCAATCTATTTCGCGACTGGTTTATTAATTGCTGGACTGAATTTATCTAATGAGGGGGCAAAAGACATTTTAAATCTGTGTTAATGATGCAAATAAGAAATGGAAATACTGAGTAGTTTGATTCAACTAAAAACGTACTGGTTTCTCAGATAAGAGAACAACCTCATTAGCCTAAAAGTAATGAGACACTTATCCCTTCCCAAAGCATACTGCTCAAATTTACAGGGTCTGTAATTTGGAAACTCAGGATGCCTTCAAACTTTTTTACAGTTGCTCTCAGACCAAGCATATTGGTTTGTATGCATATGAAACATTAGAAACTACTGGATACTTTCTTTAATGCAAGATCTAGTAATAAAGAGGAATCCCAAATTTCAGCTCTACAAAAAACAAAAACACACCCCCCGCCAGCCCCTCCTCTCCCCCCAAACAAACAAAAAACCACCACCCAAACCACTCTTCAATCCTTGTTTCCTTCCTGGGATAGTGACATTGTACGTGCTGAATCATGAAGATGAAGTACCAAAAGTTCACTTAAGGCTGCCTCTGCTTTCTAGCAAAGGCACCCTCTTATCTCAGAATAATTTAGCTCTTACACTTCTTACTTACCAATTAACTTACTCTCCAATATAATCAGTTCCCTTAAAATGCTGGAGAGGATTAGTACACACAATTCTGTAGTGATTGCTAAGTACAGTAAACCAACTTTTAGAGAAAAGGTTAAAACATTACATAATTATTTAATATACAATATTGTAATGTGGAATAGTGATATCACATTAACAGCATTTATAATAAGTATGAACGTGCACTTTCATACAAGTAGCTAAAGCTTAGCATTCCATAAAGAAACCTGTCAAAATAAGAAAAGACTTTTCATGTGTGAGCACCTATGAGAGTGGAATGTTTAATCTTTTAGTAAATAGACACTGCTCACTTTCAAAGGGTCTTATTATAAACATCGCAAAACATATCAGCAATTCTCTTCAGCCTTGTCACATGTGGGAAAAAATACTGTTCGACATCAGCTCTTAAGACGAGCTGGGAAAAATTCAAGTATATATTTTGACCCAGTTTATTAATGAAACAGGATTTGGATGAGAATACTTCATGGAAGGACTATACAGAATAAATAATTAGACTTATACACTGAAGACTTCATGAACTTAAATTTTCCAGTGATGCTCTCCCATTAAAAAAAAATTAAAATAAATCTTAAATTCCAGTTAATATACTACCCACCACCATTAAGTTTGATTAGAGTACTGAATAGTTAAGGTTTTACAAAAAACTTTTCTGCATTACAGCAATACCAGACAAAGAAAACATACAAAGCTTTTATTTAAGGCAAGACATTTGCTAGATTAGAAAGTTATACGGTAAAACTCCAGTAGTCTGGCATCCAGTTGTCCGGCACTCCTGACAGTCCGGCATCAACGGGAACCCGGAACTACTCGGGTCAGCCGCTCTCACGTCCGGGCCGCTGAGAGCCACATGCGCGCTCACAGCCTTCACTGTTCCGCTCACGGTCCCCAGCCTGCATGTGCTAGCAGCCAGCTGCTGAGCACAGGCAGCTGCTTTGGGACCTGGACATAAGGTTGGGGGGGGAGAAGGGGGACTGGGTGACAGCAGGGAAGGGAGGTGTTCAGCTCTGGGGAAGGGAAGGGGGATTGGGTTGCGCACGGCACCCTGGCTGGCTCATTGAAAAGCCGGCCGCTCAGCACACGTGTCCCAACACCTGGAGGGAGATGCGCGGCTGTACCGGTGAGGGGGAGGGAGATTGGACTGGGCATATGCCCCCTTATAGTACCTCCTGGTACTCCAGCATATCTGATAATCCGGCACCACCTAGGTCCCAACGGTGCCAGATTATTGGAATTCTACTGTATTTGGAAAGCTCACTTCAGAGATCTAGGAAAGCAACTGATCCATCTTTGACAAAAAATACTAGTGGTATTAGCAGTAAGACTAGCAGTATCAGCAATTCTTTCTGAAATGCAGTCCCAAGAGGAAGAAAAGTTGTGGGCATCCAAATCATGATATTCCAGAATAAATGGAGTTTGATTTTATAACCCCAGCATAAGATTCTGTACAGCAGCAATATCTAAAGTCCACTTAAAGACACATACTAACTTGAAATCTAGTCAATGACAAAATGTTTGAGAAGTTAGTTTCAATGCCTGTAATATGTGAGTTTATAACAATTAAAAAAAACGCTTTCAGCTCCTTTTAAAAGTATGTGAAATAGACACACATATGGGAAGTCTTGTTACTATTTAAGTATTAATTGCAAATACTATTTTTTAAATTTTGTTTTCTTGTCTTTTTTCCTCCGTTTGCAAACAGGAAATACTTGCAGAAGATTTGTTTTTTTTATAACGTACTAACAACATCAAAACTCAAATTTCTCTTTGAAAAATTTTTCCTGATTGCCCCCCAAGTAACACCTGATTGCCTTTAATCTGGGAGTTATCAGGAAAATTTTCTCAAAGAGAAATTTGAGTTTTGATGTTGTTAGTACGTTATAAAAAAAAAAAAACAAATCTTCTGCAAGTATCATTTCTTGTTTGCAAACGGAGGGAAAAAAGACAAGAAAACAAAATTTAAAAAATAGTAAGTGGATTATTGATGGTGTTAAATAGATTGTTACACTAAAAACAAGTATGATAGAATGATTTGTAACAAGCAATACTGGTGTTAAAAGAATGGGAAGAACAGAGAAGTATAGTGTCAATGGGCACATTTTTCTGACTGGAGACAGACTACAGCTTATTTCATTTGAGAAACTGATAGCTGTCCTGAAAAAGTCACTTATTTGCCAGTATAAACCTTAGGAGGCATTACTAATGTAACTGTAGGAAAAAAAAAGCTGCATTGGTAGTGTAGGTGAACTTTTTGAACAAGAAAACAAAAACTCTGCTCACAAGAAAAGTCTTCAGTGTTGTAAGTTTGTAATACAGATAAATTAGCCTGGTTGTGTCTCAGGTTTGCCTATCAGTTTAGTGTCATCATTTGTAAGTCTGATAGACTGAAGTTTCATCTGTGTCCTTTTATAATACAAACTGACTAGTGAAAGTGCTACAAACCCCATATAATTATCAAATAAACACTTTTTGATACTGCTGGTAAAGTCCCTGTACCACGCCATAATTTGTGTGTGTGTGTGTAAATAAATAAAAAAACCACTTGTACTAAACTATGAAGTCCCCCTCCCCCATTTGTCAAACAGACCGATTCCTACTATTAGGCTCCAGTGTCAAATACTCTCCACTGCCAGGCAGATTCCCTTGATACCAATGTGGCTTTAGGAGCAGCAAGAACAAATTAAAATAAAAATTTAATAGTTGTTGAACTGTACTGGTACAAGACATCTGTTCTAAAGGGTAAACTAAACAATACAGGGAGTTTATCCTCACTGTGCCCTATGCTCTGCCATCTCAGTATCAAATTACCCAGCAGCACAGACCCTATGTCAAGCTCCCAGGCCATGATTCGAGTAGACAGACAGTACAGAGAAGATTCAGGAGTAAGAATAAATATGAACAGAGGCAAAAATCTAGGTTAAGAGCAACCCCTACATTTAATTATATAGGATTAGCCGAACACCCTCCTCCCATTGCTTCCCATGGAGTAGCAGCATTAACAAAGCAAACACCCAGCACTTATAGAAATCAAACCACTTTTCTAAAACTGCCTATTTTTAGGCACTCAGTCTTGACAGTTTTTTGGCCAATGTTAAAAAAAAAAAATCAAGATTAAATTGGAAAGCCTGCACAGTATACTTAAAAAAAAAATAAAAAAAGTCAATTTGTTATGACAGTGTATTTTGGCATTTTGAAAATTCCTTGTAATTTCTTGCACAAAATCAAATGATCCACAACTGGACAGTTACTAAAGTAGCACTACTCTGAAGTGTGTATGCCACATTAGGAAAGTCTGCAATATTTTTTAAAAACTTACATAGTTCTGAATATTATTGTTTGCTCTGCAGTTATAGTATTCAAGATGCAACTCTTCTGGTGAGAAGTCTGGAAAACCTGCAGGGAAAGGAACAATCAAAATCTTAAGAGAAAGATATATTGTTTGAGAGCACATCTGTGAAGTTACAGCAGATAGACCTTGCATCATCTTCAACAATAAATCAATTACAGGCAGTCCCCGGGTTACGTACAAGATAGGGACTGTAGGTTTGTTCTTAAGTTGAATCTGTATGTAAGTCGGAACTGGCGTCCAGATTCAGCCGCTGCTGAAACTGATCAGTTTCAACAGCGGCTGAATATTGTTTGAGAGCACATCTGTGAAGTTACAGCAGATAGACCTTGCATCATCTTCAACAATAAATCAATTACAGGCAGTCCCCGGGTTACGTACAAGATAGGGACTGTAGGTTTGTTCTTAAGTTGAATCTGTATGTAAGTCGGAACTGGCGTCCAGATTCAGCCGCTGCTGAAACTGATCAGTTTCAACAGCGGCTGAAT